GGGGGGGGGGGGGGGGGGGGGGGGGGGGGGGGGGGGGGGGGGGGGCGAGAGGACACAGTAAAGAGAGTGAGCCCGGCCGAAGTGAAGGCGGGGCCTGAACTGAAGAAGGCAGAAGTCAACAATTTTGGAAGTCTTGGTGGGAGCCAGAGAGCTGGCACGAGGCAGTTGGTTACACCCGCGGGGCTCGTGAAAATCACAAATGATTGTGAGCCTTCCGGGAACTTGCAGCAGCGTAGGCAAAGCAAAGGCAGCCTCACGTTTGCACCTGGGTTGTAGAGTTGGGCGAACCAATTCCGTCGCAGGGCACTTTCTGAGTGAGCCTGGGTGCAGACACTTGGGCCCAATCGGAAGCTACGGGAAACTGGGACGCACGAGGCGGGCTGGGGAAAGGGCCCAGCCGCTTTCCATAAAGGAAAGTGCTGGGTAGCAGGGAAGGCATTCGGGCACTTGTGAGCGGCATGCGTTAGCGCTGCGGGAAAGTGCTGGCCATTCGGTCCCAGATTCGGTCCCAGGGCTCTAGCTCGCGCGCGGCATGCTGGTCCAGGTGCTGACCGCGAGTACGGGTGCGAGAGGAAAAAAGAGGGCGCTGCACTAAGGCAGCGCCATATCCAGCCCCCATAGCCAGGGCTTGGCTTGGATGTACAGCCGGAGGTAATGGTGGTCTTTGTGGTAGTGGAGACGTGGGTGAAGAAGACGAGGGTGAGCTAAGAGAGAGAGAGAGGGATGAGGGGTTGGATGTCAGGGCACGCACCTGGTCTTGGCGATGGTCTACATAGTTGACATCTGCAAGTACTTCAGTGGCTGCTGCTGCTGACGTCAGCCGGTTGCATTGTCAATTCATAGGCTGGGATAAGTAGCTGTGTGATCGTAGTCTGGGCGCTGAGCGCCAAGTAGGAGGAAGGTCTCTGGATACGCATGTTGGTGCTGGCAAGCGGATGCTCTCATCGACATTTTGAATTCTGTGCTTTGGTTCTCCGCTGTTGGAAATATCAGTGCATTTCTGCATTCTGGACAGCTTTCGACTATCTGGCTTTGATTGTGATTTTTGCAATCTGGAATTCTGTCATTTCGCTATCGCTCATTTTTTCTTGCAGTTTGTTTGTTTGTTTGGTTGTTTGTTTGTTTGTTTGTTTGTTTGTTTGTGTTTGCAGGTATGAAATCTTTCAATTTGTGGTTCAGCTGTACACTCAGCATTTTGTGACAATGTTAAGGAAACTCGGCGACAACGCTTCTCAGATTCCCAACCATGATATTCTTAAGGTCAGTAAATAAATAGAAGAAATTATCATGAACATGGATGGGATTGCAGTTAGGTTACCCTGTTTGACAATGACAATGAATGCAACTATTTATGATTTAATGGTTCCAACTTCCAATGGATCTAGTCTTATATTCGGATAATATTCCCAACCAGAATGTTTTTGAGGACAGTAGGTAGTTGAAAGGTGGGTGTGTTAGCTTAGCCGGTTAAAATGAACGTTGCGATGATCAGATAACGATCCATCTAAAAAAAATTAAAAATATTAAAATGATTCAAATGAATAATTCTATGATCTACTGGAGTATACTAACCGGGCCGCCTTGGTTGCCTTGGCAGCTCGGCTGGGCAAGGGCCAGCAAGGTCCCTGGCAAAAAAAAAAAAAAAAAAAAAAAAAAAAAAAAAAAAAAA